ATCGAAAAATTGCAAATAAAAAAAATGAAAAATCGGAAATTTTAAAATCGAAAAACTGAAAAATAGAAAATTTGAAAAACGTAGAATCTACGAATTGTGAAGACGAAAAATTGTAGGAAAATTTCAAATCGAAAAATGGAAAAATTGAAGAATACAAAAATTAAAAATAAATATAGAAAATTGAAAAATCAAAAAATTAAAAATCGAGACACTGGAAAAATTGAAAAACGCAAAAATTAAAATCGAAGAATTGTAAAGTTGAAATACTGTAGGATCGAAAAATTGCAAATCGAAACTGTGAAAAATCGGAAATTTTAAAATCAAAAAATTTAAATATCAAGAGTTTTAAAATCGAAAAATTATAGGAAAATTGCAAATCGGAGAATCGAAAAATTGAAGTATACATAAACTAAAAAAAAATGGAAACTTGAAAAATCGAAAAATTAAAAATCGAGAAACTGGAAAAACTGAAACCTTGAAAAACCGAAGGGTAATCGAAAAATTGTAAACTCGGAAAATTGGAAAACGAAATGAAGAAAGGAAAAAATGAAAAATCACAAAATTGAGAAACTGAAAAATCGAAAAAACGAAGGGTAAAATCCAAAAATTGAAAAACACCAAAATTAAAATTGCAAAATTGTGAAGTCGAAAAATTGTAGGATCGAAAAATTACAAATCGAAAAAAATTCAGAAATTTGAAAAACGCAAAATCGAAGACTTGTGAAGTCGAAAAATTGTAGGAAAATTTCAAATCGAAAAATGGAAAAATTGAAGAACACAAAAATTAAAAAAATATATAGAAAATTGAAAAATCAAAAAATTAAAAATCGAGACACTGGAAAAACTGAAAACTCGAAAAAACGAAGGGTAAAATAGAAAAATTGAAAAACACAAAAATTAAAATCGAATTAAAGTCGAAATACTGTAGGATCGAAAAATTGCAAATCGAAACTTTGAAAAATCGGAAATTTTAAAATCAAAAAATTGAAAAATCGGAATTTTAAAATCGAAAAATTGCAAATTCGTAAATTTGAAAAACCCAAAATCGAAGAATTGTGAAGTCGAAAAATTGTAGGAAAATTGCAAATCGGAGAATCGAAAAATTGAAGTATACATAAACTAAAAAAAAATGGAAACTTGAAAAATCGAAAAATTAAAAATCGAGAAACTGGAAAAACTGAAAACTTGAAAAACCGAAGGGTAATCGAAAAATTAAAAAATTTAAATTTGAAAAATAGAAAAATTGTAAACTCGGAAAATTAGAAAACGAAATGAAGAAAGGAAAAATTGAAAAATCGAAAAATCAAAAAACTTAAAAATCGAATTATGAAGGGTAAAATCCAAAAATTGAAAAACCCCAAAATTAAAATTCAAAAATTGTGAAGTCGAAAAATTATAGGATCGAAAAATTACAAATCGAAAAAAATTCAAAAATTTGAAAAACGCAAAACCGAAGACCTTGAAGTCGAAAAATTGTAGGAAATTCGCAAATCGAAAAATTGAAGTATACAAAAATTAAAAAAAAAATGGAAAATTGAAAAATCGAATAATTAAAAATCGAGAAACTGTAAAAATTGAAAACACGAAAAAACGAAGGGTAAAATTGGAAAATTGAAAAACGTAAAAATTAAAATCGAAGAATTGTAAAGTCGAAAAACTGTAGGATCGAAAAATTACAAATCAAAAAATTGAAAAATCGGAAATTTTAAAATCGAAAAATTCAAAAATCGAAACTTTGAAAAATAGGAATTTTAAAATCGAAAAATTGCAAAATCGGAAATTTGAAAAAACGCAAAATCCACGAATTGTGAAGTCGAAAAATTGTAGGATCGAAAATTTACAAATCGAAAAAAATTCAGAAATTTGAAAAACGCAAAACCGAAGACTTGTGAAGTCGAAAAATTGTAGGAAATTCGCAAATCGAAAAATTGAAAAATTGAAACATACAAAAATTAAAAAACAATGGAAACTTGAAAAATCGAAAAACGAAAAACTGAAAACTTGAACAACCGAAAGGTATTCGAAAAATTAAAAATTTTAAATTTAAAAAATCGAAAAATTGTAAAATCGGAAAATTAGAAACCGAAATGAAGAAAGGAAAAATTGAAAAATCGGAAAATCGAGAAACTGACAAATTGAAAAAACGAAGGGTAAAATTAAAAAATTTAAAACCACAAAAATTAAAATTGAGGAATTGTAAAGTCGAGAAATTGTAGGAAATTTGCAAATCCACAAATTGAAGTATACAAAATTAAAAAAAAAATGGAAAATTGAAAAATCAAATAATCAAAAATCGAGAAATTGGAAAAACTGAAAACTCGAAAAAAGGAAGGGCAAAACGAAAAATTAAAAATTTTAAATTTGAAAAATCGCAAAATTGTAAAATCGGAAAAGTGGAAAACAAAATGAAGAAAGGAAAAATCGAAAAACAGCAAAATTAAAAATCGAAAAAATCAAAAATCAAGAAAATGAAAAATCAAAAAAACGAACGGTAAATCCAAAAATAGAAAAACGGAAAAATTAAAATCGAAGAATTGTGATGTCGAAAAATAGTCGAAAAACTGAAGTATACAAAAATTAAAAAAAAATGGAAAATAAAAAAATCGAAAAATGAAAAATCGAGGAACTAGAAAAACTGAAAAATCGAAAAATTGCAAAGTTGAAAAACTCTAGGATCGAAAAATTAAAAACTCGGTCATTTTAAAATCAAAAATTTAAAAATCGGAAATTTGAAAAACGCAAAAAATAAAATCGAACAATTGTAGGAAAACTGCAAATCGAAAAATTGAAAAATTGAAGTAGGTATATAAAAATTTAGAAAACAATGGAAAATTGAAAAGTCGAAAAATGAAAAATCGAGTAACTGTAAAAATTGAAAACTCGAAAAAACGAAAGGTAAAATCCAAAAAAATTGAAAAATCAAGACATCGGGAAGAACATCCTCTATTTTATTACTCCATCTTATTCTATTTTTTGTTCTTTTTTTTTTTCATTAAATATTTTCAATATTTAACGTTCTTTGAGGACACACCGAAATAATGAAAGAAAGATAACAAAAAATAGAGTAAGATGCAGTAATAAAATACAGGATGTTCTATTGAAAAAAGTGATTAAAAAAGGTGAAAAACTGGCCACTGCTGTCAGATTCATTCTGAACAATTTTTAAGTATTTTGTAAAATTATAAAATGAAGTAAATTGTCGATTAATACCCGACACTTCCAAAATTAATTTATAATAAATATGGTCAAATGTCATAAGGAAAATTAAATTTCGAAGACCTGTGTCGGGTCCAAGGATTTTTTAAATTATTTTTTCTTTTCTCAATAAACATTCATTATCAACATGTCATAGAGTTAGTATGTCATTTTTAAATAACGCTGTATATTTTACATACTCTGATGAGCGCCGGTAAGCTTTATAGCCACAGTTTACTTTTGAAATTTCGACGCGACGTTGCCAGGTTATTCCGATTTTCTTTAATTATATAAAATATTTTCGTTACTTAGCACCACACATCACTAAACACGATGACATTCGACACTAATTACAACAGTGGCAGACGTTATGTACAGAGCAAAGAAAACATCAGAACGAATATCCAGCAATAAAGCCCGTTCTGAAATAATTAATGATATGTATACACAACCGTATAATCGTTACATTTCGCAATTCGGCTGCCGCGATTGATATCTTTTTAACGTCAACCATTTATTGCATCTCAAGTAAGAATAAACCCTAATGGAATTTTTATCTGTATTGAAATGAAAGAAGTAAGAAGCGCTCATGCAAAGAAGTTTTCCGCCAGATAAAAAGCCGTTAAATTTGCCGGTATTCATTCCCTTTGGCTGCGTATTATTGGCAGTGTTTTAAATTTGAACCTAATCCAACTTAAAATGCCATTTCATAGATCCGACTCCATCCGCCTTGCTGTAAGTGCTACACTCGCCGGATTTTACGTAAAAGAATTTTAAATTCTTAAGTAGCGACGCTCCGACTCTCTCTAACACAACGCCAGTTAAATCTCACCGTCCTCGTTTGAAAAACAGCAGATTTTTAATTCCCACAGTCTTCCACCAGCTACATATATATTTTCCTTCCCTTTACTCGCTCCAGCGCCACGTGGTGGATTCCGGCCGATCTCGAATTCATATCAAGTCATTTGATTTCCAGAGAGCGATTGCTAGCGATTTCTAAATGTCAACGACAAGAATTCGCAACTTACTTTGATGCCAAAATAAACACGAATCGCGCGCTAATTATTAACTAATTGATTAATTAATTAATTCGGGCGTAAGCAGCGACCGTGCGAACCGCCGCATTATCGGATTCGGCGACGACTTTATGATTATTTTCGGGCGCCGGGAGCTTTCCTCTTTTTCGTATATTCACGAGATAAAAAAAGTATAATACAGTTTTAAAAAGTGTTAAGGACACGGAAAAATAAAAGGCCGCCGGAGGGGATCCGATAATAAGCTTTTAAAAAAGTTGGAGAGCGTCCTGATAGTGTTTTGTTGATCCCCAGGGCGCTCGACGGTCGGAAACGGAAGTGGAGCATGTCCGTTCTTCTCGATCCGATTAGTGAGTTAATTAAGTGCTCTTACCTAATTGAGACGCCGATTTATTAATTACCTATTATAATTATATTCGTTCTCTTCGATTTGAGAGAACTTTCTTGGCGTCTGCCGGGATCGCGGTCGCAGCAGCTGAACCACTTCAATAATAATAATAATAATAATAATTTTCGAAGGCGCATTCGATTATCGGTATTTTTTCTACGAATTAGTGTTGGATGCGTCGAATTCAACAAACAATATCATTATTTTTCTGTTTCAACGCGACTTAGGTGACTTGGTGCATGGCCGACTTCATTAATATACACTAACGTGTATATACGGCCGTTTCAATTTTTGATTTTCCATTAGAAAAAATGTTCTGCCGCCTAGTGCATATTGTGGCGCCCTCACACGACAGATCTCGTGCTATTTCTGTCAAATTAATTGTCAAGTTGAAACTGACATTGACAACAAATTTTACTCGAAGCATAAAAAAAGAAGTTTGGTTCAGATAATAATGTTTTTTTTTAATTTTATCACAAAACACAGTAAGTAAAACAATAATATTAACGTAAAGTTACAATTTCAATACTTTTCGACTTTTAGGTTTAAAATTTAATGCAAATCTCTTGACAGAATCTGTGGTCTCCAAGCAAAGATTGCTGAGAACTGGCTTTACAGTCGCTTTGATTATATGTATATTTGCACACAGAATCCCTGTGATTTGCACAGACAAAAATAGGATTTTGCACAAGGTGTGGATACAGTTCTTCAAGTATGTATTTACCAGGATTATCATGTTGTAGAAATGGCAACATTTGCTGGATGCTTTCAGCTATCAGCTGAATAATACCAACAAAGATATCTTTGGGATAGACTAAACCTCCTCGGTTTTGAATGGCAATCAATTGTAGCAAAGGACCTGGAATGCTAGTACATAATAGAGGTGTTAAACATTCATCACAATGAAATAAATCTTCTAATTTTTTTATGATGTATCCTGCCAAGAAAGCTACTATATTATTATCACTTCTTAAGATTGTGAATATTTCTTCGTACTTCAATTGGAAATATGAGTTGTTCTGTGTGCTTAGTAAAGCTCTCTCTGTTTTCTTGTAAATTTAAAATATTTGCAGGACTAATATAGTTAACATTTTCAGCAGTGTTTGAGGAATGGGAAGCTTTAACAATCCCACAACGAAGAATTTGCCTTAATGCATAATCTGCAGCTCTGGCATCTGTGGCATCATTAGAACCACCTTTCAGTCTTACATGTGAAAACATGGCCTCTACAGCGTCTGAGCTAAAGGATCGCGTTACAACATAATAGAAGCCAACCTGGCTTAGCAAAAATTTTATAAATTTTTAAATCCAACGTCTACAGAAGTCTTCTGGATATCGTCAATATACTTTGGAAATGTGACATTTAACCAGTCAAGACGTTCATCTGAAATATGCACATATGGTGCAATACTGCTATCTAGTGAACGAAGATAGTGATCTCTGCTTGAAACATTATGCACCTGAAAAAAATGGTACATGTTTTCCATATAGAATATAGAGGCATCAGCGTCAACAAAGCGATCGTTCCCTGCAGCTTTTAGAAATTTTAAAGAAGAGGTTACAGTAGGTGAAAAAACTTGGATTGCTCTTAGGACATTCATTTTTTCAAAGTTTGATGGAAATAGATGCTTCTTTGTTAAATATCTGACAGGCTTTACTGGCATTCCCTTCTGCAAATCATACAATAATTTGAGGTAGCATGATGAAATTTTGCCTTGAGAAGAATACATATCATGGTCTAAAAACAAATTTCGTGCATTTTTTAGAGCATGGCAGAAATCGAAACTCAAAAATAGTGGAATATGTTCCAGAATGGGATGATTAATGGAATTTTTCAGTGATCCGTTTCCAAATTTTTTAAAGAGGGCGACATTTGTTGAAATATTGTCTGTAACAAATCTAATCACAATGTAGCCGCAGTTTGTCAGAAGTTTTAAAATGTTTTTTGTTAATAAATATAATTCCTGAGTTGTTAACGACGAGTGGAAAAAATACCCTGCTGGTATTGTATATCTAGTACTCAATCCCTGCACCACAAAACAAAGCATCTTGTTGGCTACTTTTGGCTTAGTTCCAACACGAGTAGAACTTGTTGTCTCTAAGCCATAAATTCGATCTTCTGTCCTACAGTAATGAACTTTTTCTTTTATGGACATGTCGTCCATTATTAAGGAGCAGATCCTTTCAACTGGCTTTTTTAATTGACCAATTTTTGCACACAATCGCTCTTGGATCAGCTTATTTTGACCATGAAAGTCTCCAAGGAATCTGGATATAGTCGATTTTGAAGGCAGTTTTAGTAAGTTATTGTGGCAAAATCTGTAACCTTTAGGCGAACAAAATCTCCAGACAGTACACAGACGAAGAGACATTTCTGACCACCTAGGTATTTTTTTATAGTGATTTTTTATCAAGTCCAAAAGAAATATTGACTTTTCATCTGCGTTGTTTGCGTCTTCTATAATTTTGGTTATTTTTAAAGCATCCAAATTTTTTACTTTTTCTAACTCTCTCATTTTTGATAAACATTCAGAATTCTTTCGTTTCATTCTACTCAATTGTTGCTTTAAAACTTTGTTGTGGTACCTGAGATCTTTAAGTTCTTGTTTATCCTTTACACTTAAATCATCACATGTGGAAACATTAGTTTCCTTATTAGCATTTTGGAATGAGGAAACGGAAGTTGGATGAGTGTCTTCTAAAAAAGGATTTGTTGGTTGGGTACTAGAAATGTCAGGATCAGTAGGATTCTGGAATGATGACAAAGATTTATAGATTATGTGAGGTACGTAGATTTTTATGTACATAACGAATATAAACGGAACCGCTTGTTTATTAAGACGAGTACTTTTTGCGCTTCTAACAATACATTCTGTTGCAAAATGTTTGGAACACACAACAGTATGATCGTTTATCTTGGTCAGATCTAAAATAATTCGAATAAAATATTTTTTGAGGAACTTGTTTTATGAAATACCACAAAATTTTGAAAGTGATTCAAACCATTTGTTTCTAAGATCTACTTCCGCAGGAATTCCAAAAAGTGGATTCTGTGTATTACCACAAATCATACACTTTCATCCCATATTATAAAGACCTAGTTTTATTAACAACGATAATAATTCATGCCCAAAATTATTTTGGATTTGAAAATTGTCAAAGAAAATTTCTGACAGTAGTGACAGTTTAGTTCAAGACATTGCCGTGGGTGGCGTATGCTTATGTACCCATGGATTACTACGCGGGAACAAATTTTTAAGAAATTGAAACGGCCGTATATACACGTTAGTGTATATTAATGAAGTCGGCCATGTTTGGTGGAAGTACGACGTAGATCGGAAGAAATCCGCTGCGATCGTTTTGATCGGTTGCGATATTATCATAAGGCCATTTTTCAACTAGGACATTTAGAGTAATTTGTTTCTGGGTGCGTAATGGAGCGTTTAATGAGGAGCTCGCCGCCGACGGTGGCCAAGGGACCGGCAAATTGAATCGCTCCGAGCTTAGACACTCCTCCGCCACCGACACAACTTCTTGCTGTAACAAAACGGCACTTACAAGAAAGCCAGGTATATCCGAACGCCGATTTGGCTCTTTCTTGATGCGGCGTTTTGAACTGTTTATTTTTATGCGGATACATTGTTTGCGAGCGGCGATCTCCTTTATGGGGGCGATTCGCTTTAAGTGTCGTTGTTTCGTCCCTTGATGTGTGCGGGTCGTAAATCGGCCCCGTCTTAGGTATCGTTTAAGCAAGCAGTGCGCTAAGGGCCGTAAGGTGTCGTTAAGGCAAGGCCACTCGGTAACGTTTATCTGTTAAATGACCCAAAACAAGTAACAAAGTGGTCCTGTTCCTGTAGCACCAGAGCAGCACCGGAGAGGCCGTTTTCATGCTCTTTGCACTCGCCCTTTTTTTATCGGGAAACAATCCAACCGGAAAATGAACACTCCTGTGGTGACAAAAGAACATTCCATCATTTCCGGAGAAATGGGCGCCATTAGAAATGCATAAACGGGGATTCCCCAGACATATTTTACACTACGGACGTTTTTAGGGTTATTGCCGGAAATGAACCGGAAAATTTGCGCCAATCAATTTCAGCGGCAGCCGGGACGATCTTTATCGATATTCTAATCCGGAAAAACGGACATGTTTCAAGTTTCGTTGTAACTCCTAAACCGGCCTACGCTTCGATGTTTTTACCGGTTTAACAACGTTCTCGAAAATTGGTCTTCCACGACGTTTTATTCAATTTATTAATTTAACTCAAAATTACTCATTTTGAATATCGTAGCCGTAAAAACAATTTCGTGACGTTTCTTTGTAGTCAGTGCCAAATAATTCAGTTTATCGCCTCTTTAATCGAAGCTGAATTCGCTTAATAGATTTATAGTGGCGCCAACAAAATATATTCTTTCTCGACTTTTTACTTTGTGTTGTTCAGAAAAAGCCATTCTTGATAAAAATGTCGTAAATAGCAAAACTCACACACTAGTTCTGAAAAGATATAAACCGTGGAAAATTGACACGTAAATCTAGGGAATACTATCAAGTCAAATCGTCGCTTGAGAACTTGTTTGATCTACAGACCAAAGCGCACTCAGGCCAATATCGACTCTAAGCGATTTATCTATAAGCCGACTTTCCTTAGAGCTGATCGAATAACTAACCCGTTTCGACCATCAGACGTCAAGATTTTTGGAAAAAAAAATAAACATTTTCCAGTTTACAATTATTATCCATATTAAATCAATACAATTTTGTCGAATAAATGTTATTTTTTATAGTTCGTCCTGAACTTGTGGTTCATACATACTCTATTGACATTTTTCGGCTTTTCGATTTTTCAATTTCCCAATGTTTCAATGATACGATTTCTCATTTTTTGTCCTCTTCAATTTTACGATTTCTAAATATTTCGGTTTTTCGCTTTTTCAATTTTTGGCGTTTCCAAATTTTCACCTTTCCGATTTCTGAAGTAATCTTTTTTTTCGCATTTTTAGACTTCTCAAACTTTCAATTTTTCACTTCTTCAATTCTTCCATTTTTCGATTTTTCAGGTTTTTGATTTTTTAATTTTTCGATTTTTTAAGCGTAGAATTTTTCGTTTTTGCTGCTTTATTAGGTTTTCGATTTCTCAATTTTCCAATTTTTTAATTTCTCAATTTATTGGATTTTTCAGCATTTCAGTTTTTTGATTTTTGAACTCCTGTATTTTTTGATTTCTCGATTTTTTTTTGCTTTTTGGATTTTCAGTGTTTCGTTAAACTTTATATTTTTCAAATTTTCGACGGTTTTATATTCGATTTCTCAACTTTTTAACTTTTCGATATGTTTTAATTTTCCAATTTTTAAAATTCTAGGTTTTTCGATTTCTCGAGTTTTTAAAATGTTTCGACTTTTCGATTTTTTGATTTCCCGATTTTTCAAGTTTTCGATTCCTCAATTTTTTCAACATTATCAGTTTTGGGAACTTTTCAATTTCCGGTTTATTTAATTTTTCGATTCTTAAAATTTTTTATTCTTCGATAATTCAATTTCATAGCATTTGCCAAAATCAGTCTTATCTTAGTCGACCCACTCTCTCTTTTCTTAAAGGGTATGTCACTTACCAGAATCAGTCGTATTTAGCAAGTACTAGCCCCACCCACCCACCCTATATTTTCTAGGAAGATAAGTCATTTGACAAAAACCGCCTAAACTTAACAAGTACTAGCCCCGCCCACCCGCCCTCAGTTTTCTTGGAAGGTATGCCATTTGCCAAAATAAGTCATATTTAGCAAGTACTAACCCCGCCCACCCGCCCTCAGTTTTCTTGGAAGGTATGTCATTTGCCAAAATCAGTCGTACTTAGCAAGTACTAGCCCCACTCACCCACCCTACATTTTCTAGAAAGATAAGTCATTTGCCAAAAACCGTCTAATCTTAACAAGTACTAGCCCCGCCCACCCGCCCTCGGTTTTCTTGGAAGGTATGTCATTTGCCAAAATAAGTCATATTTAGCAAGTACTAGCCCCGCCCACTCGCCCTCTGTTTTCTTGGAAGGTATGTCATTTGCCAAAATCAGCCGTACTAAGTACGGCTGATTTTGCAAGTACTAGCCCCGCCCACCCACCCTATATTTTCTAGGAAGATAAATCATTTGCCAAAAACCGTCTTATCTTATCAAGTACTAGCCCCGCCCACCCGCCGACTTCGATCTTTGGACTACTTTTTTGATTTTCAAATTTTCGTTAAACTTTTTGTTTTTTTTTAATATTTCGATTTCTCAAATTTTCAACTTTTCGATGTTTTAATTTTTCAATATTTAAAATTCTAGGTTTTTCGATTTCTCGAGTTTTCAGTTCTTCTATATTTCAATTTTTCAATTTTCCGAGTTTTTCAGTTTTCGATTTTCCAATTTTTTGCCAAATTTTCGATTTTTCAATTTTTTGATTTCCCGGTTTATCGAATTCAGATGTTTCGATGTTTCGATTGTTCAATTTCCTGATTCTCTGAGTTTTCGATTTCTCGATGTCTCGGTTTTTGAATTTTTCGATGTTTCGACTTTTGGATTTCTCGGTTTTTCGAGTTTTTTATTTCTGGCCTTTTCAATTTTTCCAATTTTCGTTGCTTCGATTTTTCAGTTATCTGATTTTTCAATTTTTCAATTTGTTAAATTCTGGAGTTTGGGTTTCTCGATTTGTCGATTTTTCAGTTTTTCGATTCTTTTATTTTTTGATGTTCGGATTTCTCGATTTTTCAATTTTGGGCTATTTTAATTGTTCAATGTTTTAAATTTTAGATTTTGGATTTCTGAATTTTTTGATTTTTTAATTTTTCGGTATTTTTATTTTTCAATTTTTCAAAATTTTTATTTTTTGGATTTTCAATTTTTCGGGTTTTAAACTGTATTTTTCGACTCTTTTACATTTCGATTTCTCAATTCTTCAACTTTTCGATATTTTAATGTTTTATTTTTAAAATCTAGATTTTTCGGTTTCTCGAGTTTTCAGTTCTATATTTTGTTTTTCAATTTTCCGAATTTTTCATTTTTCGACTTTTCAATTTTTTGAGATTTCGTTTATCGAGATTCAGATGCTTCGATGTTTTGATTTAACTTTTCAATTTTTCGATTTTGGCCTATGTCGGTTTCTCAATTTTTCAATTTTTCGACTTCTCGATTTTTCGACTTCTCGATTTCGCGTTCTTTTGATTATTCGATTTCTCGATGTCTCAGTTTTTGAATTTTTTGATGTTTCGATTTTTCGATGTTTTGATTTTTGAATTATTCGATTTTTCAATTTTCCAATTTTTTTTTAATTATCGAGTTTCGATTTCTCGATTTATTAACTTTTCAGTTTTTCGATTTTTTTTTTTTTTGATTTTTTGATGTTTAGATTTCTCCATTTTTCAATTTTGCGATATTTTAATATTTCAATGTTTTTTAAATTTTAGATTTTTCGAATTTTCGATTTTTCAGTTCTTCAAAATTTTTTAATTTTTCCATTTCTCATTTTCCAAAAGTTTCGATCTTTCAGTTCATCACTTTTTCTATTTTTCAGGTTTTTGATTTTTCAATTTTTCACTTTTTAAGTTCGCGATTTTTCGACTTCGCCTTTTTGACTTCAATTTTTTCAATTTTTTAATTTTCCAATTTTTGGGTATTTCGTTTAATTTTGTGATTTTTCAGTTTTCGATTCTTCAATTTTTCTTGTAGTTTTCAACTAGTTCTGGATTTTACTTTTTGGATTTTCAATTTTTCGTTTTTTCAACTTTACATTTTTCAATTTTTCGACTGTTTTATACTTCGATTTCTCAATTTTTCAACTTTTTAGTTTTTAAAATTTTAGGTTTTTCGATTTCTCGAATTTTCAGTTCTATATTTTAATTTTTCAATTTTCCAAACTTTTTAAATTTTCGACTTTTCAATTTTTTGAGATCTCGTTTTATCGAGATTCAGATGTTTCCATGTTTTGATTTAACTTTTAAATTTTTCGATTTTGGCCTATTTCGGTTTCACAGTTTTTCAATTTTTTGACTTCTCGACTTTTCGACTCCTCGATTTCTTGTTCTTTCTTTTTGAATTTTTTGATGTTTCGATTTTTCGGTGTTTCGATTTTCGAATTATCCGATTTTTCAATTTTCCATTTTTGTTTTAATTGTCGAGTTTCGATTTCTCGATTTAATGATTTTTCAGTTTTTCGATTTTAATTTTTTTTTTTTTTGATTTTTTGATGTTAGATTTCTCCATTTTTCTATTTTACGATATTCTAATATTTCAATGTTTTTTAAATTTAGATTTTTCGATTTTTTGATTTTTCACTTCTTCAATATTTCTTAATTTTTCAAATTTTGACGTTGCTGAATTTTCAGTTTTCCGATTTCACAATAAAACAATTTTTTGATTTTCCCATTTCTCGACTTCCCAAAGTTTCGATCTTCCAGTTCTTCAGTTCTTCAATTTTTCTATTTTTCAGGTTTTTAATTTTTAAAGTTTTAAGTTTTCGATTCTTCAATTTTTCTAGTATTTTTCAATCTAGATCTCGATTTTACGATTTTTCGACTTTTTACTGTTTGGATTTTCAATTTTTCGTTTTTTAAACTTTACATTTTTCGATTTTTCAACTGTTGTATACTTCGATTTCTCAATTTTTCAACTTTTCAGTTTTTAAATTTATAGGTTTTTCGATTTCTCGACTTTTCAGTTCTTCTATATTTCAATTTTTCAATTTTCGGAATTTTCCATGTTGTAATTTTTTTTTTTTTTAATATTTCGATCTGCCAGTTTTTCAATGTTTCGATTTTTCAATTATCCGATTGTTCAATTTAAATTTTCCTATTTTTATTTTTTTGATTTTGCCATCTTGGTTTATCGATTTTCAAAATTTTCCGACTTTTTCGATTTTTAGATTTTTTTTTTTTTAATTCTTTAGCCTTTTAATTTTTCGACTTTACTTTCTTAATTTTCCAATTATATTATAATATTATGAATGTCAATTATCTGTCAACCCGACTGCATTTAAGACAGTAAGATGAAACCACCTATTCGCTGAAGTATAATCGGTTGCCTACTTAAAAAAATAACGAACCCGCAATTATATACGGCAACTAATAATTCCAAAGCCCGCTCCAAATATATTTTATTGTACACCCGGTATTTTCAGGTGCGTAATTCTTTGATTGTTAAGTGCGGAAGGTTTAATATTTTCCTGAACTATGACATATTCAAATTACTTCAACTTCACCAACAGAAACGTTCATTCCAGAGAGAATTAAATACCACCATAAAGCATGATCAGTTCTAAAACGACATAACAATCTAGAAAGTGCGTTGGTAGTTGACAGAATAACCAAATTTCCCTAAATTTTTCGCCATTTTTCTGAAACGATCAAGTTGCCCGCGGCGTAATGTTGGTTGCATAACCATCAAATTTTAAAAATGCGTTAATTTTGTCGTTTTAAAACTAAACTTAGCCCTATATTCACAAATAAAAGAAAATGGAACTTACACCTTTTATACTTATCTTTTATTCGTTTAATTTCAACGATTGCGTTTATCGAAATTGTTCATTTCAAGACAAAACAAAAATTCGCACTGAAACCGTTCTTCGGACTTCACGAAGTCTTCATTCTTCGAAACAAACAACAATTTTACAGATTTCAGCATCTTCGTCGCACAATAAACACTATTTCTTCAATAATTTCAAAAAACTTCACCCGAAAATTAAAGTAATAGTGACACAAGCGTTGACATTTGACTTCACCCGCCTACAAAAATTTCGTTAATTGCGTTTTATGTTAAAATCGATGTCGTTAGTAGAAAAAACTTAAAACTGTACAGGGTGTTTAAAATCTTGTTGCTCGTGACCTCGTAAACAATTTACTTTATGAAAAATAACTGATAACAACTCTGAGTCGAATTTTAGCACCGTCAGGTTGGAAACCCACCACATACAAAAGTCAAAAGTCACCAGAAGTTACCAAATTAAAACGTCAATTTTAATAACTTTTTGTAATAGTATATTACTTAATGAGAGTTGTAAGAAGCATCTTACGCACGAATGGAAAAAGTTGCGCACGAGCCGCGAAGCGGCGAGTGCGTATTTCCATGAGTGCGTAAGGGCTTTACAACTCGAATTATGTACTATACTTTTTCTACGAGCACAGACAAAATCATTTTATTCATAAACATTAACATTTTAGTTTTATTAGATATTATAATTATTTGTAGTAATTGTTTATTGTCACTGTACAGTTGTTAAACACAAGGGAATGGTCGGTAGTATTAGTTTTGTGGCTACTTGTACTCTGACTACAGGATGCAGTCACATTATGTTCTGAAATAGTGACATGGTTTCATTGTAGTTGACAACTCTTCAAAATATGCCAACATTATGTTTTCTGACAACGAATTTACTTTATTTTTTATTTTCCATGCCATAAATTTTTGGTAGACGATTTCATATCTTTCACGCGACTTTCTGGGCAATAGATTGTCGATAGCCGTTTTGGCCTTTTCAATTATCTCCGGCGGCGTGCACATTAATTCATCACTATCGCTAGACATTTTAGACTACAATTAAATAGAATCCGTAAAAAGAGAGAAATGTTGATATTTTTTGCAGTAAATGTTACCTTGTTCGTTTTCTTCTTTTAAAATTCTTTGATTATGCCTCTTTTATTAACAGTAACGCTGACAAGTGCTTCACAATTTTGTATTTGCCTGTCCGTCTTGTCATTTTCACTACCAACCTAAACTGAATAAATCGAAAAATCCCTAACTGTGCGATTTGCTTTTCTTACGCACGCTGTGCGTAAGGACACGCATACATGATTAGCGAGTTGTGTGATCTTAACGATTTACAGTGGTGATCGTAGAAAAAAATATTAAAATAGTGGAAGCCGATATGTCCATTGCAAGAAACACAGTTCTGTTACTAAAAAGCGAGAAGTCTGAAGATGCTCAAGATAAATATCAGGACATTTTAGAGTCCAATAAATTTGAGGTTATGGTTGTGAAAACATTGACATTTCAGTATAAAAATATTGAAATTTTGCGGGACAAGCTTACAAATCCGGACGATTTTTGTGGAATTATACTCTCGAGTCCACGGTGTGTTAACGCCTGCAGTCAGGCTTTAGGTAAAGAACGAATTCATGAATTGTGGAAATTGAAATCAAATTTTACGGTGGGTGAAGCCACTTATAATGAAGCATTAATAAAAATAGGGATTGAATGTGAGGGTAAAGAAAGTGGAAATGCTAGAAATTTGTCACAGATAATAGTGCAAAGTAAGTACTGAAAGTCACTGGTTTGTTTTAATTCTTTGTTGTAGGTAAATCAAGTTTTAATAAACCTTTTCTTTTTCCTCATGGTAATTTAAAAACTGACACGCTCAAACTCGAGTTAGGTCGAGAAAACTTATCTTTAGATGAAGTACTAGTGTATGACACACTGCCAAACCCGCAAATTAAAGAAGACTTGGAAAAAGTCACTTCTGGTTTTTCCTCCATACCAGAATATTTAGTGTTTTTTAGCCCGTCAGGTTTCCACAGTAGTATACACTACTTGCGTAAAGTACCAATTGACTTATCCTCACTCAAGGTACTAACACAACTACTTAAGTCACTCTTAATTAAAGTCATGTTTAAAGATAATAGCAATCGGTCCCGTTACTCAGCTCGCTATTGAAGAAAACAACTTGAAGGTCTACGCCGTTGCTAAAGCCCCCACTCCCGAGGAAGTACTAAAAGCAATCTTGTGATAAAAATTTATTGAAACTAGTTTATCACAGTTCATTAAATTTATGCATCTAATAAATCTCATGAACATAATGTCTTAATTATACAGCAAATTAAAAAAATCACCCCACGTACAAAAAATCGTACGCGAGTTCATTAAAGAATGTTAAACATATTTGCTATTATACAAAAATTAGAATTAATTTTATCATAATAAATAACAAAACCTTTGGCATTACTACTAGTTAGGAGATTGTCTATATTTGTGAACCCTTTGATAAAGAGACTTAACAGATTCAGTATTGTCTTGATTTTCTTTCAAGGAATAAAGTCTTAGCTTCTTTTCCGTATGGCACTCAAGAACGTCCCACTTCTGATACAGTTTCAAAGCATTTTTGATTGAGTCGACGGACACGCTTTCCTCTGTAATAAAAAATAAATCAATGAAAATGTCATACAAAAGTCACAAAGTTGCATACCATATATCACCGCCCCTGCTGACACCTGCAGCTGAATTTCGCTAAGAATATCATTAACCAATTCGCTCTCCAATAAAGACTTCCCCACTAACTTATCCAAACTAAAAGCAGTAACGGCGTACGCTTCAAGCAAAGGCATAAGTAAAACTCTCAAAAACTTCAGACGTTCCACAGCCGTTTTCTCGTCGCTTAAAATATACGGTTTCTCGGTTTCCGCCTCGTCGATGTCGTCTTCGTCGTCGAATCGCTTCGCTATCCGCTTACTCCGTGCCACTCGCTCCGAATCCTGTTCCTGTTCCACGAAAATGCGATGCCTCACGTTCAAATCGTCGATGCATCCGATCACAATATGCTCTAAATTTTGACAAGGCTTACACACTATGAACTCGTATTGAAAGATACTGCACAGATCCAATACCGTGTCGATTAATTCTACGTGAGAAACTGTGCCTGCCGCAGTTGCTACAACGGAAACGGCGATTGCCACTATCGACTCCAGCGCGAAATGAGTAACTAACGTATTACTATAATAGGAAAGTTCTATGACGTTTGGTAATATTGCGATTGGTTTGATTGTGTCTTCGCCGTTTACTTTTTCCTTGCGGATCAGTCCCGGGCCAAGTAATTCGGCGCTGTAGTTGATTATGTCGAAGGAGTCGCCGGTGAAACCTAGGTCTTTCCGGCTTTGGTGGAGTTCTTCGCGTAAGAGGTCGAGGTCGACAACGAGCTGCTTGACGGTGGCGCCCTCTCGGTGCTTCGATAATAATAAAAAGGCGAGGGCGTTGGTGGACATGACTGACGTCGATTTGGCACAATCTAAAAAAAATAAATATTATTTTGTTACATAGTTCCAAAGCAAGTTATAATTGTTTATCACAATTTTTTTTTTTATTTTGTCGTTATTATCACAAATATTCGGATAACATTTAATGTGATTGCTTTTTGGGGACTCGGACAACATTAAAGGCATTGGTTATCGTAAATGTCTATAATAAAAAGAATATAAAAATGCAACTGCAATTAAACTTTAAAAGAGTCTAAACAAACCTGAAAACAACAAGCTCTCTTTTATCTGAGATAACACATATTATATACATATTTTAATTTCTGGTTTTATTCATCCTTTCAAAAAAAGTGATGACATCATCGCACAAAAACTATTACATAAATATTTATTAAATACCAATCACAATAAAGCACCTTGGCGGCAAATTCAAACTGACACAAATTCAAATTGATAAAAAAATCTGTGATCTGAGCTTTTTTGGAACCGATTTTTGATTTTTTTTTTTAATTTGTAATACAGCAATTTTTCAATTTTAAGAATCGAGAAGATCAAGAAATTGAAAAATTAAATGCAAAATTAAAAAAAAATGGCAACGAAAAATCCAATTTTCAATTTTTGATTTTTCAATTTTCCGGTTTTTCAAAATTTCAGTTTGAATATATTTGTTCTTTTTGTTGGGAGACTGAAAAATTAAAAAGCGAGAATATGAAAAATAAATCGAAAAATGAAAAAACTAAAAATCCGGATATTGAAAAACTGGATAAGAGATTGAAAAATAAAAATAAAAAACTCAAGAAATTGAAAAATCGGAAAATTGAAAAATTAGAAACCGAAAAATCGAAAATATGAGAAATCCACAAATTAAAATATCATTTCGAATAGAATGTGGAACATTAAAAATATCGAAAACTGGAAAAATTAAAAAAATTGAGAAATTGAAAAGTCGAAAAATTGTAAAATTGGGTATTTGAGAAACTGACAAATTGCAAAAAAAAAAGAAATTGAAAAACAGGTAAATTGAAAAAACGAAATATTATAAAGTAGAAACATATTGAATTTATTTAAAATGAAACTGAAATTGAAAATAAAAATGGAAAAATTTTAAAACGAAAACTCAAAAAAACTGTAGACCCGGAAATTCAAAATCAAAATCGATTACTTTTTCAGTTTCTCCATTTTTCAATTTTTAATTTATAAAGTGAACGTTTCAACTGATATTTTGAGAAATCGTAAAGTCGTAAAAGTTAAAATTAAAGATCGAGAAGCTGAAAAGTCGGATAATTAAAAATTCGGAAAAGTGCAAAATTGTAAAACTGAAGAATTGAGATCAAGAAATTAAAAAAAAATCGAAATGTAAAAAAAATGACACTGAAAAATCGAATACATAATGGAATAATAGAAACAAAAATAGATATTCAAAAAAAATGTAAAAACGAAAATTTAAAAAAACGAAGAAAATTTGGAAATAGAAAAACTAAATAAATGAAAACTTGGAAAATTAAAAAACATAAGTTGAAAAATTGAACAACCAAAATTAAAAAATCGGAAAATTGAAAAATTTTAAAATGAAATCGGTCTCAAGTTTCAATTTCTCGATTTTAATTTTTTCGAGTTTCCATATTTACTTTTAAATTTCTCTATTTTCAATTTTTGTTTTTCAATTTTCCGGTTTTTCAAAATTTCAGTTTGTTCTTTTTGTTGAAACTAAAAATCCGGAAATTGAAAAATTAAAAATAAAAATTTCAAGAAACTGAAAACGCCAAAACATGGTAACATTGAAACATCGAAAAATTGAAAATTTATAAACCGAGAAATCGAAAATTTAAATAAATGAAAAATCGAAATATTGTAAAATTGAAAAATGAAAATGAAATTAAAAATAAAAATGGAAACTCAAAAATTGAAAAATCGAAAATCCAAAGTTGAAAAAATCGGAAAATTGAAAAATTTTAAACTGAAAATCCAAAAAATTGCGAATAAAAAAGCTGTAAACTCGAAAAATTTTATAAAAAAATAGATCCCAATTTTCAATTTCTCGTTTTTTATTTTTTTAGCTTTTCGATGATTACTTTTAAATTTCTCTATTTTCAATTTTTGTTTTTTCGATCTTCCTATTTTTCAAAATTTCAGTGAAAAAAAATCGAAAAATTAAAAAACTAAAAATCCGGAAATTGAAAAATTGGATTATTGAGGAATAGAAAAATTGCGAAATATTAAAACTGAATAATCGAAAGATCCAAACACTGAAAAATTAAAAATAAAAATTACAAAAAATATAAATAACGAATAGAAACAAAAAAAAAATTGAAAGACTACAAATCGAGAAATGAAAAATCGCGAACTTTAAAATTTTTAAATCGAAAAATTGAAAAATTAAAATTCCAAAAATTTAAAAATCGACAAATTGAAAAGTCGGATAATTGAGAATTCGAAAAATTGCAAGGTTGTCAAACCGAAAATTCAAAATATTGTAAAATTGGATATTTGAGAAATTGACAAATTGCAGGAGTGTAAAATAGAAAAATTTAAGAACTGAAAAATGAAAATATGTATCTACAATTTGAAAACCGGAAAATTGAAAAAAAGAAAAACGGAAAGATTTTAAATCGGAAATTGAAAATTTTTAAACTGAAAACTCCAAGAATCGCGAACAAAAAAGCTGTAAACTCAAAAAATTTTAAAATGACACCGATCACAATCTTCAATTTCTCGATTTTTAATTTTTTTGGCGTTTCGATGTTTACTTTTCAGTTTCTCTATTTTCAATTTTTTCTTTCTCAATTTTCAGGTTTTTCAAAATTTCAGTTTCCTCTTTTTGTTGAGAATGACAAATTAAAAAGCGAGAAAGTGAAAAATAATCGAAAAATTAAAAAACTAAAAATCCGGAAATTGAAAAATTGCAGAATATTATTACTCGAAAAGTAAAAAATTAAAATTGCAAGAAATTAAAAATACGAAAACTAATAACATCGAAAAATTGAAAAATTACAAACCAAGAAATCTAAAATTTCAATAAATGGAAAATCTAAATATTCAAATATCATTCGAATAAAAAAAAATATCTAGAAATTGAAAAATTGGAAAATTGAAAAGGAGAAGCATATTGGATTTATTTAAAATGAAACTGAAATTAAAAATAAAAACTGAAAAGTTTTAAATCGAAAACTGAAAAACTGTAGACTGGGGAAATTCAAAATAAAAATCGATTACTTTTTCAATTTTAAAAAATCGTAAAGTCGTAAAATTAAAAATGAAAGACCGAGAAACTGAAAACTCGGACAATTAAGAACTCGAAAAAGTACAAAATTGTAAAATTAAAGAATCGAAAAGATCGAGAAAATGAAAAATTTAATGCAAAATTAAAAAAAAGTGACACTCAAAAATCGAATTATCATTTTTTGATTTTTTAATTTTCCGATTTTTTAAAATTTCAGTATGAATAAATTGGGAATTTGAAAAAGTAAAAATTGAAAATTAAAAATCGAAAAATTAAAAATGGAGAAATTGAAAAGAAGTGAGAGAAAAATTGGGTAATTGAAAAATCCATGGATTACAAAATTATAAATCAGAACCTTAAAAATCGAAAAATTTTAGGGATTAAAAAATCAAAAAACTGAAAAAATTGAGAAATTGAAAAATCTCTTCGTAACTGAAAATGTAAAAAACAAAAAATTGTAAAAGCAAAATTTAAAATTCGAAAAAAGTTTAAATCGGGAACTCAAAAAGCTGTAAACTCGGGAAATTTCAAAATAGAAATAGATTCCTTTTTCAAATTCTCTATTTTCGTTTCAATTTTTGTTCTTTTTGTTGAAAGATAAAAAATTCAAATCCAGAACTTGAACGAAAAATTAAAAATTTTTAGAAATTGGAAAATTGAGAAAACAATTATAAAATCAAAAATTTTAACATTGAAACATCGAAAAATTGCAAGTGGAAAAGTTCAGTAAAAAAAATTGAAAAATCGAGAAACTGAAAAACGAAAATACGATACGAAGTCTGCAAATTAATGTTATTTTAATTGTTACTAACATAAATTACGGACTTTTTCGTAGGAACGATAATAATCCAATAATGAATGTAGTATTTAAAAATCTACATTCTGAAAAAATAAATAAATAAAATGAACAATGTTTCACTCATTTTATGCTTGTAGTTAGACACTAATGTTGCTAGAACATAAATTGTTTATGTGCTTTTTTACGTAGACAAAACATAATTAAGAGACTCATCTACAACATAAATTGTAGTTGGAAGATATTTATTTGTTCACTTTACGATGAACTAAAAAATGAATAGTCTGGAAACGATGAATTAAACTCGGTTCGTTGTTTATCAACAAATCTGGCACGAAATAATGTATCCAATTTTCATTGTAAATGAAACATATCCCGGCCCGATTCGTTACAAAAACATCATCACTTTCATTCACCACACCACAATCCAAACAATAAATAATCAACAATTCCAAATCACAAACACACAAAAGTGGTCTGACCAACCTTTGCCCCGTCATCCTATCACCACATATTTAAAATACCACCCAACCTCTGACTCACCGTAAATAATATGTTTCGAAATACTCTCCACCAACGTCTTGTGCTCATCCGACACCACATCCGTCCCGTACAAACTCGTCGTCGACGGATTCGACTTCAGCATCTTCAACCCATTCGCCGGCAGCTTCTTCGACGCGTTGAACGTCTTCACCAGCTCCTACCAACCACAAAATAACAAAAACCCACACACTTTTTCACACTTACTTTAAGCGAGAACGGCTGATTGAAATCGATCCTGATCATTCCGAAATCGCTGTTCAAAACGTGCCAGATCGCCCTCATCGCCGCCCCGAACGTCTCCATCTCCTTCGGCTGCCCCAGCTGCTCGCGCACGAAGTTCCCGTCCACCAGCTTCTCGTAGTTCACGCTCACGGGCACCAACAGCGCGTCGTCGATGGTCCCGTCCATGAAGGCCTCCACGATCACGCTGAGGATGCCGTACTTGGGCATGCAAGGTTTCCCGGTTCGCGTGCGCCCGCCTTCCAGGAAGAACTCCACGTTGTGGCCGGCGCGCAGACACTCGTTCATGTAAGTGTGCAGGACGGCCTTGTAGAGGTGGTCTTTACGGCCCATTATCGGGTCGATGCGACGCTTGATGAAGAAGGCGCCCAGGCCGCGGAGCAAAGAACTGGAAGAACGAAATTCGTAGTCAGGTGTATTGTTGGTTGCATAACACAACTTATTTATGTATTTCAAAACGGTTGCAGATGGCTGTGGAAATTTAGTAATTTTGGAATTATGAATTGTCTGTTGACATTTCAACTGTCAATCAGTGGTGTAATCTGAATTTGCTTATTTTACAAGTTTTTATAATAAAAGCAATGTTTCTTACCCAAAAAACGGTATCCGGAGGTTGTCCCCCGCCGCCACCAGCGGCGAGCGCACGTTGTTGTTCAGCAAAATAAACGATATAAGAATGTAATCCAAGTGTGACCTGTGCAGCGGCAGGAAAATGAGCGGAAGGTTCGTCTTTCCGGCCTCCTTCAGCATGTTTATTTGTCCCGGATGGGCGGCTACGCAGCTTATAAAACAGGGTAACAACTTGTATAAAACCCATGACGTAAATCGTAGTATAAAGTCGGATAAAGTGGATCTCATTCCATATAACAATTTATTTGCCCGTTTTTGGTTGTTTTTTAGCAGCTCTTGGTAAAAATCGTCGTCGTTTCTGTCGGAGTCCTGGAACTGCTGGAGGGCCGTTTTTTCAATGGCTTGCTTCAAGCGGTCGTCGTTTAAAACCACCTCTGCGACTTGGGGGTAGTCGAATTTTCGCAGTTGGTAGACTTGGTTGAGATGGGAGAAAGTTCGTTGGAGGAAGCCATTGTTGTGGAGGGATGGGGTATGGTCTAGGATGTTGTTCAAGGCTAATTTTTCGGTGGTTTTGTTAACCAGCGACTCCTGAAAAAAAACGTTTTGTACTTGTTTACATATTTATTAAACAAAATGGACAAAAAAATTTAAAATTAATTCGATTGACGTATTTGCACGAATTTTAAGTTTATTTTACAACCGGTTTGACCGAGATGTATCCAGTGACGAAGTAGATCACCTCGGTAAAAGGAAATTATTTTTGGTAATTCTTGAGTAAAACGCGAAATCGCAAAAATTGCAGCTGTCATCATCATACGATCAAACACAAAAGTCAATTTTTTGTTGATAGACAATTATCAGTCAGTTTTAGCACGCGTCTACTATCTATTGTCACATTGGTCAAAGTTTAAAGTTCCTTAATTCAGCGAACTAAATTTACCGAAGTAATTATGTAAATCTAAAACATGCAGTGACCCTAGTGTGTATTTGTTTTTATAATTATTTTTGCTGATGCAGCAAAAAGGGTACAAAATTTTTTTGTTGTGTTTTAGTCTGTATAAAGCTTTAATGTTTGATATCTAGTAGGCTATGGATTTTAAAATCAGTTGGTACTGATCAGCGCGCACCACTTAACCTAAAATTCTAATGCGTCAAATACTACAGTTATAGCAACCCGCGACTTTGCATGCCTACGAGATATCAAACAATGAAAACCCCATATAAATGACACATAAAACACCAACTTACCCACGCTTCCCCCAAAAATTGTTTAAAGCACGCCAACGTAATCATCACTATTAAAAAATTTGAAAACTGACTAACAATTTCCGCACTGAGAAAACTTCTGTTCGCTTCAACAGAAACTTTGAAACTAAGTTTAGAGACCACAAGTCCCTTTTAATTAGAAAACGGACCCAACCAGGATTAAGGATTATTTCAGGTACGGTCCAGGTAAAAATCTTTGTAAGTGGACAAAAATGAAATTTCAGTTTTTCCTGGAAATCTGTAGAGTTAAACCTATATATAATGAACCAAGGTTATATGGCCATCATAAAATCATCCCATTGTGTCGAAGTTAAGTTGTTTACAATAGAAAAGGTTTTAGGGTCGTAAATAACGTGTCCACTGCAGCTCGACCGGCTCTTGTGGTTTCGTTCAGGGGCGGCTTTCACTAAATATGAAAATCCACCACTCCACTATTTCTTTACTACCTGCAGCCGCTGAGGGTTCCGAAATAACCACTCGCTTTGAAAGCCGGCCCTGTTAAATATGAGCAAGAAATGTTTAGAAGATGATTTATTGCCAACCAGTACGCTTAGTAAGAACCACACAAAGGGGGTATTTATTTGCGGTCAACTACTTTTATGATGGCCATATAACCTTATAGCTCTTGGTTCACTATATATACCTACTTTACCACACTTTACAAAAGTTTCCCTAATAACGAAAATTATGAGTGGTACAATATTACAAAAAAAATATGACTCACCATTTTCCACATTCGTCTATTAAAATATTTAAAAAAATCACGAGATCAGCAACAATATAAAGATCTACTATAATAAATTTCTACACCATTTTGATTTCGAAGTTTCATTTTCAATTCATTTCGTCTATCCTTTGATAAAAGCTGGAGATTAGTCCTAATGATGCTTAGAACTATTTAATTTTTGAGATAGTAAGTAGTTCGGACAACCGTAATTATTCCTTTAATTACTCTTTACTGAGAAAATGGCGAAAATATTTAGATTTCAAAAGAACTAGTTCCAAAAAAATTTCTCCACTTGGTAAGTTAAGTGGAAATTTGTGCTGGCATCTCGAACTCGTGTTGTTTACTGCTACCTGAAGTTAAAACCATAGTTTAAAAAATTTACGATTTCATTTACTAATGTTTTATCGCCACATTGCTTATCAGTAGAGTCTACTTATCGTAAATCCCTAGGCTTTATTAGTAACCAAGCATCTAAATCTCTAATCCATTTGTTGTTACTACAATATTCAATATTTTTATGTTTTATTAAGTTTCTCAAAAACAGTCTTCAGGATTGAATGCTTTCAGGCTCCTTATGACCTGGAAACGTTTTAACAATTTTTATTTATAACCCATTTTCCATTTTTAACTTTTCAATTTCCGGATTTTTGTATTTCTCGATGTTTATTTTTTATTTTTCGATTTTTCAATTCTTAAATTTTTCGATTATCCGATTTTTCAGTTTCTTGGGTTTTTTAATTTCTCGATTTTCCAATGTTTCGATTCGTCGATTTCTCGATTTTGAATTTTTCAATTGGACTGTTTTTAATTGCCAGTTTAATTTTCCAATTTTTCCATGTTTCAGTGTTTGAATTTCTCTGTTTTATAATTTTTCATTTTTCAATACATTCGATTTTTTATTCTTCAATTTTCCGATTTTCCAATTTCAATGTATTTTTAATTTTCGCTTTTTCAATTTTTTTCGTTTTGATTTTACACTTGTCTGATTTTTCAAGTTCGGTTTTTTCCTATTTTGAATTTTACAATTTTTCAATTTTTTAATTTCTCACTTATTCGAATTGTCGATTTTTGAGCTTTCGATCTCCCCATCCTTCGATTTTTTTATTTTTACATTTTTGTAGTTGAAATTTCTACATATTTTAGTTTTTCGATTTTAAGATTTTTCCAATTCTGATTTTTCGATTATCCGATTAATTTTTTCCAAGTTGTCAATTGTTTCAATCTTCAACTTTTGATTTTTCATTTTCTCGATTTTACAATTTTGCATTTCTGACTTTCAATTTCTGGATATGTTAGTTTTTCGATTTTAAAAGTTTTCCAATTCTGATTTTTCGATTATCCGATTTTTCAGTTTCTCGGGTTTTTTATTTTTGGATTTTTCAATTCTTGAATTTCTAGATTTTCCAATGTTTCAATTTGTCGATTTCTCGATTCTGAATTTCTCAATTGGACTGTTCTTATTTTTTCAATTTGGCAATTTTTGATTTTTCAATTTTTCCATGTTCCAGTGAATTTTTCTGTTTTACAATTTTTATTTTTTCAATATTTCGATTTTTTAAATTTCTAGATATTTAAATTTTTCGACTTTTCAATTCTCCATTTGTTATTCTTCAATTTTCCAAGTTCTATGTACTTTTAATTTTCGCTTTTTCAATTTTTCCACTTTGATTTTTCACTTGTCTGATTTTTCAAGTTCTGTTTTTTTTTGCCATTTGATTTTTTTATTCTTAATTTTTTCAATTTTCCAATTTTGAATTTTAAAATTTTGCATTTTTTTTTTATTTTCTCACTTATTCGAATTTTCGATTTTTGACTTTTCAATCGCTCCATCCTTCGATTTTTGTATTTTCACATTTTTGTAGTTTAAATTTCTAGATATATTCATTTTTTCAATTCTCCGATTTTCCAATTTCTATGTATTTTTAGTTTTCGTTTTTCAATTTTTCCATTTTGATTTTTCACTTATCTGATTTTTCAAGTTCGGTTTTTTGTTTTCTGATTTTTTTATCCTTAATTTTTTCAATTTTCCTATGTTCCAATTTTGAATTTTACACTTTTGCAATTTTTTAATTTTTCACTTATTCGAATTTTCGATTTTTGATTTTTCAATTTCTCGATTTTTTTTACGTCTTTGTAGTTGAAATTTCTAGATATTTTAATTTTTAGATTTTTCAATTCTTGAATTTCTTTCGTAATTTTCGACTTTCAATTTCTCCATTTTTGATTTTTCAATTCTCCGATTTTCCAATTTCTATGTATTTTTAGTTTTCGGTTTTTCAATTTTTCCATTTTGATTTTTCACTTATCTGATTTTCCAATTTCAATGTATTTTTAATTTTCGCTTTTTCAATTTTTCCATTTTGATTTTTCACTTATCTGATTTTTCAAGTTCGGTTTTTTCTGTTTTTTGATTTTTTTATCCTTAATTTTTTCAATTTTCCAATGTTCCAATGTTAAATTTTACACTTTTGCAATTTTTTAATTTCTCCCTTATTCGAATTTTCGATTTATGACTTTTCAATCTCTCCATCCTTCGAGTTTTTATTTTTACATTTTTGTAGTTGAAATTTCTAGATATTTTAATTTTTAGATTTTTCAATTCTTGAATTTCTTTCGTAATTTTCGACTTTCAATTTCTCCATTTTTGATTTTTCAATTCTCCGATTTTCCAATTTCTATGTATTTTTAGTTTTCGGTTTTTCAATTTTTCCATTTTGATTTTTCACTTATCTGATTTTTCAAGTTCGGTTTTTTCTGTTTTTTGATTTTTTATCCTTAATTTTTTCAATTTTCCAATGTTCCAATGTTAAATTTTACACTTTTGCAATTTTTTAATTTTTCACTTATTCGAATTTTCGATTTTTGATTTTTCAATTTCTCGATTTTTTTTACGTCTTTGTAGTTGAAATTTCTAGATATTTTAATTTTTAGATTTTTCAATTCTTGAATTTCTTTCGTAATTTTCGACTTTCAATTTCTCCATTTTTGATTTTTCAATTCTCCGATTTTCCAATTTCTATGTATTTTTAGTTTTCGGTTTTTCAATTTTTCCATTTTGATTTTTCACTTATCTGATTTTCCAATTTCAATGTATTTTTAATTTTCGCTTTTTCAATTTTTCCATTTTGATTTTTCACTTATCTGATTTTTCAAGTTCGGTTTTTTCTGTTTTTTGATTTTTTTATCCTTAATTTTTTCAATTTTCCAATGTTCCAATGTTAAATTTTACACTTTTGCAATTTTTTAATTTCTCCCTTATTCGAATTTTCGATTTATGACTTTTCAATCTCTCCATCCTTCGAGTTTTTATTTTTACATTTTTGTAGTTGAAATTTCTAGATATTTTAATTTTTAGATTTTTCAATTCTTGAATTTCTTTCGTAATTTTCGACTTTCAATTTCTCCATTTTTGATTTTTCAATTCTCCGATTTTCCAATTTCTATGTATTTTTAGTTTTCGGTTTTTCAATTTTTCCATTTTGATTTTTCACTTATCTGATTTTTCAAGTTCGGTTTTTTCTGTTTTTTGATTTTTTATCCTTAATTTTTTCAATTTTCCAATGTTCCAATGTTAAATTTTACACTTTTGCAATTTTTTAATTTCTCCCTTATTCGAATTTTCGATTTATGACTTTTCAATCTCTCCATCCTTTGAGTTTTTATTTTTACATTTTTGTAGTTGAAATTTCTAGATATTTTAATTTTTAGATTTTTCAATTCTTGAATTTCTTTCGCAATTTTCGACTTTTCAATTTCTCCGTTTTTGATTTTTCAATTCTCCGATTTTCCAATTTCTATGTATTTTTAGTTTTCGCTTTTTCAATTTTTCCATTTTGATTTTTCACTTATCTGATTTTTCAAGTTCGGTTTTTTGTTTTCTGATTTTTTAATTTTTTCAATTTTCCTATGTTCCAATTTTGAATTTTACACTTTTGCAATTTTTTAATTTTTCACTTATTCGAATTTTCGATTTTTGATTTTTCAATTTCTCGATTTTTCGATTTTTTTTACGTCTTTGTAGTTGAAATTTCTAGATATTTTGATTTTTAGATTTTTCAATTCTCAGATTTTCCAATTTCTATGTACTTTTAGTTTTCGCTTTTTCAATTTTTCCATTTTGATTTTTCACTTGTCTGATTTTTCAAGTTCGGTTTTTTCTGTTTTTTTTATTTTTTTAACCTTAATTTTTTCAATTTTTCAATGTTCCAATGTTAAATTTTACACTTTTGCAATTTTTTTAATTTCTCCCTTATTCGAATTTTCGATTTTTGATTTTTCAATTTCTCGATTTTTCGATTTTTTTTACGTCTTTGTAGTTGAAATTTCTAGATATTTTAATTTTTAGATTTTTCAATTCTTGAATTTCTTTCGCAATTTTCGACTTTTCAATTTCTCCGTTTTTGATTTTTCAATTCTCCGATTTTCCAATTTCTATGTATTTTTAATTTTCGCTTTTTCAATTTTTCCATTTTGATTTTTCACTTGTCTGATTTTTCAAGTTCGTTTTTTTTTGTTTTAATTTTAATATTCTTAATTTTTTCAATTTTCCAATGTTCTAATTTTGAATTTTACAATTTTGCAATTTTTTAATTTCTCACTTATTCGAATTTTCCATTTTTGACTTCTCAATTTCTCGATTTTTCGATTTTTTTCTTTTTACGTCTTTGTAGTTGAAATTTCTAGATATTTTAATTTTTAGATTTTTCAATTCTCGAATTTCTTTCGTAATTTTCGACTTTCAATTTCTCCATTTTTGATTTTTCAATTCTCCAATTTTCCAATTTCTATGTATTTTTAATTCTCGCTTTTTCAATTTTTCCATTTTGATTTTTCACTTATCTGATTTTTCAAGTTCGGTTTTTTCTGTTTTTTGATTTTTTTTATCCTTAATTTTTGAATTTTCCAATGTTCCAATGTTGAATTTTACACTTTTGCATTTTTTTATTCCTCCCTTATTCGAATTTTCGAGTTTTGATTTTTCAATTTCTCGATTTTTCGATATTTTTTTTTTACTTCTTTGTAGTTGAAATTTCTAGATATTTTAATTTTTAGATTTTTCAATTCTTGAATTTCTTTCGTGATTTTCGACTTTCAATTTCTCCATTTTTGATTTTTGAATTCTCCGATTTTCCAATTTCTATATATTTTTAATTTTCGCTTTTTTCTAAAATCGGGAAACTCAAGAATATTAAAAAATTCAAAAATCGGTACCAATAAAATTTTCAGACCACACAATATAAATTGAAAAACAAATCGTATGACTTTCCAGATTTACACCCTGGAATAAATCATACCTAACTCAAATGGTATTGGTCACTAGCGCGCCACGGTCACTTCACCCCATGTGGTATGTCATCCCCAAAAAATTCATAGGACACGTGGGCGCAAATGGGGATTATAAGGGTTGTCATTTCCTACTTTTAAATAAAATCAATTCTCAACGTCTTATTTTTTACAAGATGAACCTTTTGGTCAAAAAACACAATTCAAATATGCACAGCCAACTCCAAACGTATCCATTCGTAAACAACTCTTGCGTGTTCATAAATAGTCGTCCCATTAACCTATAGACTCGTTTTTTACGCACAATTCCGGTTTTTACATAGCGGCGTCTTCGACTTTGTTGCCGCTGTTGAATACTATGAGACTTCCACACCAACCACGCAAATTTCCAGTGCAGTCAACCCAATCACCCCATTTTTTCCAACCCGACAACATTTTTAACCCGAAGGTGCGCACGCCATAACCAGACTTAACTCCACCCACACTTTACTCAGTCTTTTGATACCATTGGACGCAACCACGTATCCCACGTGTGTTAATGGACATTCAATTGGCAAAAATTTAGCGACAATTAACCTCTGCCACCACTCCACTGTTGACAAAAACAAGCAGCGCTCATTTGATTCGATCGAAAAGCAATGAAATTACGTAAAACAATTATTATTACCCGAGAGTCGAAGCCACGCCACTCCATGCCCGAATGAGACACTCCAAACTAAAAATAAACCGTTTCGAGTGAGCGGCATTTCTAAAACGAATTTCGCTCCAAGCACACGTTGCTGCCAAACAACGCGCTTGATGCTTTTTGGAGTGACGTCAGCGGCTTTGTAGAGAAAAGTGTTTCGGAAATTTTGAGCTGCGGAATTTTTTGGGGGGATTTTTGGACCTTGTTGAGTCTTATCGCGTTTTACACGCACCAAACAGCGAGTCGCACTTAAGGCACTATCTTATCAGAGGCCCCATTGTTGCTATTCTAGGATTGATGCTCTATGTACTTTACATAAACGTCCTAGATAACACACAGTGAACTAATCTAGTGGTATCTGTACTGTAGTTGACGTGACGTCATTAATTTGTTGGAGGAGATTAATATTAATATTAATATTCAAACGGTATTCAGCAATCTAGTAGTTCCGAGAAAGCATGACATGCTTATCCAGGAAGTCAAAAGTACACTTACCCTACTTAAGCTGGTGCAATAATTACAACTAAGCCCCATCAGAGGCCTACTGGGCGGTATTTCCACCTCTGCAACATGTTCCTTGATGTCAAATAGCTGACTTTCGCGATCCTGTGGATAAACAAAGCAACGACTATTAAAAAATGAGTGTCTATTAAAAACCGGACGTACACAAAACCGTATAATTGTCCTGAATTTAAGGAAACGACAGCGTTTCACGCACATTTCGACACCAACTATTTAACTAATAAAAAATTCATTCAGGAAATTATAAGAGAAAGTGTTGTTGTTGGGGGACACTGATACAAGCTCGTTATCTCTAAATCATGGATATACACGACCAACAAACCAAACTCACCTTAATGTCATCTTTGAATGAGTGCCGTTTTCGAAACTGTTGCTCTTTGGAAAAACGTTTCAGATGAGATATAGTTGTGAGGGACTCAGTCTGGTGGTTTTCTTTCGGCGAAAATCGGCTGAAACTGTCGAAAATCCGGTTCGTGAGGATGTCCACCATTTTGTTGATCCTTGAACAAAAAAAAAGTCAGTTGGTCATCGAAATCCGTTGCACCCTTACCATTTCAAAAACAAAATCAAATAAACGAAAAATAAAACGATGGCTAGCTGTAAAGACCCGTAAAATAAGTGGAATAAGTCGAGCTTCTTGACAACGAAGAAACACAAAAAGAATAAATTTAAGTAAGTTATCAAACTGAACACCAGTTGGATCATCATTTTTTCACGTCGGGTTTATGCGAACTCATTGAACACACTGACGACTTTAACACTTTAATCAATTATTAGTCAACTTTAAGTGATTAAAAACTCGATGGGATACTAAGCAAGAACATATCAGATGAACTCTATCCCCTGGTTCCTAATCTATTGTTAATTTGAATGAACAATGCGCTTTATCTGATTTTAAGTACGCTGCCTACCTCAACGTGGAAATATCCACTGCGACAATTGGTCAATCATTTTTTAGAGTGTCAAAAACAAAATAGTACTTGACAAAAATAGCCTTCCTTTGTTGAATAGGTTGAAGCTTTGATCGGTTATAGGTCAAATATCACGTGAACATCACTAGGATTTTTTAATAAAGTATATTAACAACAACAAAGAATATCGTTTCATTCTAGTATCAGTAGTCGTGTGTTGAAGAAGTGAATTCATTGGTTAGTGGTTAATCATACGACGACGATCTGTCTGAAAGAGGAGAGGTCAGAGCAAAAAGCAAAGTCATAACTGTATCTAAAAATGTAGACCACTTTTCTAAAATAAAATCCTTTGCTTTCACCGATTCACAGTTTCGATGACTAATAGACGAAAATTAGTTATGAATACCTGGGTTATCTTTTACTGTAAACTCAGTGGGTAAATGACTGCGGTTTTATAAGGCGTTATTAGTAATGTTTTCAACACGCGCACATTAGAACAGGTTTTTATTTAATTATACTTTATTCAAGAACGAATAGAAAAAGTGTGAAGATTAGTGATAGATAACAGTGATAACAGCGTTTTATCGTCGCTATTTACGTTATCAAGCACACTCCACCTGTCAAATTTATCTCTAGCTGTCCTTTTACAAAACTTAAAGAGTGCGTTATCCGTTTCTTGGTGGACAAACAAACGGAAACGACAGACCGACATTTACGTATTGTGTTCGTTGATAAAAAGTTGTATAACATCGTGTAATATTAGAATCGTGACGCTACTTTACACTGTTTGATAAATTTGAAACAATGTTGTTGCACTCGCGTGTTAGGTTTCTAATAAACACGAAAGAATGACGCCGCACCTTAGAAACACCGCCAATAACAATATCTGGACGAAAACTACTGCTACAAATTTTAGTTTCGTGGACTTGAATATTTAGAATTTTAAACTAGATGTAGATTTGACACTGACAAAGAAATAATGCGCATTTGTGAGCTGTTTTACCTGTCATAGATACTGAATACCAAAAGTCCAGTCTAGACTTACAATGTAACAAAAGACAAAGTTAAGTAGTTGATTTGAAACTGCTAATAGCCTTGTTTACCAGTTCAGTATCACTTTGTGTAGTGTTGGCATTGTATTTTTTATAATTTATAACTTATTGTTCGGTTTATTTCAACAACAGTGCCATTTTTAAGATAGAAAATACAAATAGGGGTCGCTATTTTGAAAAAAAAAAAGTTCCGTTTGACGGCACCATTAAATCAAATTGTGATATTAAGATAACGTTATTTTTTAAATAATTATGTATGTCAGTTAACCTATGCAGCAACCTAATCGAAACGACTTGGCAGATATCGCTTGAACCGATTTTGATAATATTGCAGATTTATCCTGGTGAAAATTACGCAAAAAATTTCAACCAGAAACGATTCTCTCCGATCTAAAACGCCTGATCATAATTCCGAATAGCTTGGAAAAGAGAAAACCCAATTGAAAGTCTTACAACAGAATTATTACCATGACTAATCAAAAAGTTACCGGCGTTCTTCAACACTCTCTATAATTTGAACAAAATAAAGCTATAATTGAGTGATAAATTTCCAAGGTGGATTTTATCAATAATCTTTATTTCCAGTGCACTTTATGTAAAACACTAATGCACACTGTGTTTCTGCAACTGCTACCTATAATTATTTAAACAAAATTTTAAAAAACTGTCCTGAATATTTCAACACAAAACGGAGCTTTTTGCCAATTTCTTATAGTCGGTGACACGTAAAGTGACACACCATTTAACTTTTATAGGCACATAAAAGTATTAGCTTCTGTCAAAATTACATTTGTCAGTCAATTACGAGCCGCCACTGCTTTTATAATTCTACGGCGTTGTTTAAAAGTTAGGTTGCCACTTTAAATTTACCCGACTATACTTTGACCAGTATCTACGTAATGCAATTTTTCTAACTAGTAATTTAAGGGGGATTTATTAACTGGCTGTTGACGTTGAAGTTCCCGCTGACGTTACTTTTATAAACTTCGTTCCCAAATTGCCGTTAATGGTAACTATGACGTTCAACTTCTGTCATATTTAAACAGGTTGTCGAAGAAAATTGGAGGATTTATGTTGATTATTACAAAAATTTACCATGTTTTAAGTTTCTTGTTGTCGAAATACGTCTACACATTTTGTCTTTTCGTTTTAATATAAGCACACTTCTTTTCACAACATTAAACTGAAAACATGTTCAAAATGGAAAATTTGTGTAAGAAAATATCGGTTTTTCAATTATCAATGTATCATTTTAACCATGTTTTAAGTTTCTTGTTGTCAAAAGATGGCTATGTATATTAAGAAAAGAAAGCCAAACTATAAGGCCCGCCCACCCACCCTATCTCAATTTTTTTTATTTGTCGTAAGCCGAGGGGCGGAACTTAATTGTAAAATCCTTTTTTTTTCTACGAGAAATTAGCATGTGAAATATGTTCTTAAGTTATCGTTTTATACAAAGAAAACTAAATATATTAATTAAAAAAGAAAACCAAACGAGAAACCCCACCAATACTTCTCAAATTCAGTCATAATGAATTTTTCATTCGTTGTCAGACCGAGGGGAGGAGCGTAATTGCAAAATTTCCCTATACAAATTTACCATTTTAAACGTGTTTTAAGTTTCTTGTTATGAAAAGATGACAACACATATTAAGAAAAACGGCAAAATTTAGCCCCGCCCACCCGCCCTATCTCAATTGTAATGATATTTTTTTATTCGTCGAGATCCAAGGGAGCGGAGCTTAACTGCAAAATCCATGTTTCCTTACAACAATTGAAGTTTTCATTCGTTGGAAGACCTAGGGGCGGAGCCTAATTTCAAAATCCACGTTTCCTTACAAAAATTTACCATTTTAAACGTGTTTTAAGTTTCTAAAAATAAAAAAAAATCATTACAATTGCGATGGGGTGGGTGGGCGGGGTTTATATTTTACCTTTTTTTCTTAATATACATAGTATTCTTTGAACAACACGACACTCAAAAACATATTTTTAATTTCTTGTAGAGAAATAAGTATTTTGCAGTTAAGCTCCGCCCCCTTGGTTCACAGCGAATACAAAAAAATCATCACAATTGAGACAGGGCGGGTGGGCGGGCCTACATTTTGCCTTTTGTTTTAATATGTGTAAACTTCTTTTCAGAACATAAAACTTAAAACATGTTAGAATAGAAAATTTGTATAAGCAAATATGGATTTTGCAATTAGGCTCCGCCCCGTAAGTGCAAAATCCATATTTCCTTGCAAAAATGTACCATTTTAACCATGTTCTAAGTTTATTGTTGTGAAAAAATGGCTATATATATTAAGAAGAAAAGGGTGAAATATAAGCCCCGCCCACCCACCCTTTCTTAATTCTGATGATTTTTTTTATTCGTCGTAAGCCCAGGGGCGGAGCATAATTGTAAAATCATTATTTTTCTACGAAAAATTAACCGATATTTCCCTGTACAAATTTACCATTTTGAAGATGTTTTAAGTTTCTTGTCGTGAAAAAATGACTACACGTATTAAGAAAAAAAGGCAAAATGTAGCCCCGCCCACGCACCCTATCTCAATTGTGATGATATTTTTTTATTCGTCGAGATCCAAGGGAGCGGAGCTTATCTGCAAAATCAATGTTTCCTTACAACAATTTACCATTTTAAACATGTTTTAAGTTTCTAAGAAAAAAAAATCATTACAATTGAGATGGGGTGGGTGGGCGGGGTTTATATTTTGGTGTTTTTTTTTTTTTTCTTAATATACATGGTATTCTTTGTATAACACGATACTCAAAAACATGTTTTTAATTTCTTGTAAAGAAATACATATTTTGCAGTTAAGCTCCGCCTCCTTGGTTCAGGGTGAATCCAAAAAAATCATCACAATCGAGATAGGGCGGGTGAGCGGGCTTACATTTTGCCTTTTTATTTTAACATGTGTAGACTTTTTTGCAAAAGATGAAACTTAAAACATGTTTAAAATGGAAAATTTGTATAACGAAATATCGATCTTGCCATTAGACTCCACCCCATGATTGCAAAATCCATATTTCCCTGCAGAAATGTACCATTTAACCATATTTTAATTTTCTTGTTGTGAAAAGATGGCTATGTACATTAAGAAAGAAAAGGTCTAAATATATGCCCCGCCCACCCACCCTATCTCAATTCTGATTATTTGCTTTATTCATCATAAGCCGTGGGGCGGAGCATAATTGTAAAATCCTTATTTTTCTACGAAAAATTAATCGATATTTCACTATACAAATTTACCAATTTAAACATGTTTTAAGTTTTTTGTCGTGAAAAAATAACTACACATATTAAGAAAAAATGCAAAATGTAGCCCCGCCCACCCGCCCTATCTCAATTGTGACGATATTTTTTTATTCGTCGAAATCCAAGATAACGGAGCTTAATTGTAAAATCCATAGTTACAAAAATTTACCATTTTAAACGTGTTTTAAGTTTCTAGGAAAAAAAAAATCATTACAATTGAGATGGGGTGGGTGGGTGGGGTTTATATTTTGCCTTTTGTTTTTCTTAATATACAT